CCCGCTTTATATTACCGAAACAAAACTCTTAGGGAGTTGGGTTATTCACATAAAATGAGGAAAATACTAATTTAAGATAGATAAAATGCCAATCACTTTTAAATAATCCACATTTAGACATCAAAAGCTGTACCTACAATTAGCCATTTGAAACATAACTTAGAATGACAACAAGAGAATATACAAATGCTGGATTACATTTAATAAATAATTTAAAAGGTGAGAAGTCAGAATTCAATTTTATGAGAATTGGTCAATGACCCACAGGTGAACAGCACTGGCAAAAGAAATAGTCTCTTGGGAAGAAAGGTGCTCTTTCTCCCTCTATGTGTATAGTTTATTTGTTCAAACAGAGATGAATAAATAAATAAGTAAGGAGAGTCTTATTAAATTGAGTGGCTAATAGAAAAAATACATGAAGCATCACACGCAGCCCAATTTTGTTCGGGCTTCATCCAGACTGAGAGCTACAGGAATTGTGGTAGAACAAGCTCAATTTTACTATCACTTTCTAAAATTCCAGTCTGATAAGTTATATTTTACTATGTTTACTAACTGAACTAAGTTATAACTTGAAAGAAAGCCTAAAATCTCAGAGGATTTTAGTTAACTCATTAACCTACTTGGTCTCCTACCACATCTCACTTTTTTTTCCCATGTGCTGTTAGTATACTTCACAAAGGCATATATCTTTAACGTGAAACTGTATAACTTTCTCAAAGGCTTCATTAATTAGCAATTCATGAGTTAAAAACTTACTAAGACTCATCTGGACAGTCTGGAAAAAAATGATCAAGTCAGTAAACTCTGAATTAAATTCTGTTTGTTTCTTATCTGCATATATGTAACTTTTCAAGAAACCCTTTTTTCAGAGACTGACCCTGTGAAAATTTAAAAACAAGACATGTATTTGTACATGGTACAGGCCACAGCGAAGGTGCACAGATAAAAAGCACAGAGATCCCTGAATTACTGTTAAGTGTGATAGCTTCAGAATTGGAAGCAGTAGAGGTGGGTGGCACTGTGGCACTGAACTTAGTGTTGCTTCTGAGATCTGAGTTATCATCTCTCCAGAGTGCTGCACTGTGCCAGGGAGATACACCATCTCAGTTAAAATAGTCTTCAGATTTAGTAATAGTACACTGAACTGAATAGTTGAGACATACTCAAAGACAGATTTAGATAATTTTAGAGAGCGATGGAATATCATAAAGTGATATCATATCATGAGTGGTAGGGTCACAACAAACTGCAGATTTCCCACCTCAGGATTCATCATAATTAATTGAAGAAAGGATAAATATCCAGAAAAGTGAGTGAAAGGTTGGGGGAAAATAGAAATTCAGAGTCAGGTTTTGTGGTGGCATGTTTTTAATATAAGAAGGGGAATAATTAGGGACCGGTTAAGAGACAAGTAGAAGGAAAAAGACAACACAAGTTTTGAGTGCACTCTGAGGAATGACCCAGACTCCTCAGGGTTGACCCTTTGTGTATGAGATTGTTCCTGTCTCACACTTCCCAGCTGTGGCACTTTCACCCCATGGGTTGGCAGTGCAGCATCCCAGCCTTCCTTCCTGGAGTCCTGCGTCCAGCTCTGGAGCCCTTGGCACAGGAAAGACATGGACCTATTGGAGCAGAGGAGGGCCACAAAGATGATCAGAGGGATGGACCACCTCTCCTATGAGGACAGACTGAGAGAGTTGGGGTTGTTCAGCCTGGAGAAGAGAAGGCTCTGGGAAGACCTTATTGCAGCCTCCCAGTACTTAAAGAGGGCTTAGAAAGATGGAGACAGACTCTTTAGCAGGGCCTGCTGCAATAGGACAAGGGGTAATGGTTTTAAGCTAGAAGAGGGTAGATTCAGGCTAGATATAAGGAAGAAATTTTTCCCAGTGAGGGTGGTGAAACACTGGCACAGGTTGCCCAGAGTGGTGGTAGATGCCCCATCCCTGCAAACATTCAAGGTGAGGTTGGACAGGTCTCTGAGCAACCTGATCTAGTTAAAGTTGTCCCTGCTCATTGCAGGGGGATTTGATGACCTTTAAAGGTCCCTTCCAACCCAAACTATCCTACGATTCCATGATTCCTCTTCAGGGACCACATGTAGCAGGTGTAGGTGACAGGGTCCTCCACCAGCTGTGTTTGGTGTGTGAGAGTCTGGAACAAGAGAGAGGAGAGGCCACTGTGCTGTGCTAAACCTCCCATTCATACAAACATCTTCAAAATCTGTCATGTGCTGAAGCATGTATATGCCCTGCCACCATGTGAGCTGGCATGCTGTCCTAGAAAGAAAATGCCAAAGAAAACAGGAGGCAGAATGATCCCCACCTTTGCCTTCAATCAAATCACCTGATTCCTCTTTTTCCACTCTCTGCCACTGCCTGCCCTCACCAGACTGGTGGGAGGAAGGATTCTTTGGTCCCCTCTGCTGCTGCTTACACAGAAACACAGTGTCTCTCCTCACTGTGTGTAAACTGTTATAGGCACAACCCCCAGGAAATATAAGTAAGGCTTGAAATGAAAATAACAACATGAGTTGAAAAGGCCAGGTTTCCCTGGCAGTTTCATCCAAGCTACCAGAGCCTGCCTAGTGCAAAAGTAGCTGCTGAGGAGTTTCCCATTCTGCCTTTCCCTGGCACCTTCCTGTGCTGGATGCAAAAGACATACAAAAAGGAGTGACAGCTGTTTTGGAAATTTATATGACCCTGGTTTAGACCTGTTTAAAATCTGTTTATTTTGGTATAAAAGTGCAAAGAGGCCCTGGCAGACAGAAAATTAATTATTTTGCATGCATTGTGTAACACTATTCATTAGTTTTACATGAGTGGTAAGAGGTCAGTCAAGAATAGAATCCCATTGTGTTAATCTTCAAAGAGCTTGCCATGTAATTGAATGCAGCAGGCATGGAATAAAGGAATTAAATATGCAGGCAGAATTAACAGTAACGGTTTGCAAACGTCCCATTGCAAATATCTACAACTTCTTTGTCTAAACTCTCGGGTTGAGATCTTGGGAGGAGGTAATTAGGTAACGAACAAAAACAAAGAAAAGGAATAATACTGAAGGAATGTGCATAAAAATCATGGAGAAAGGACATGCATAATGGGATCTGAATGCTATAGCATATCCAACTTCTCGTATATTAGTGCATAGATCTACATTAAGCACTAGCCTACATGTGCCCTTCTGCTGTTGTTTTCTGTATGGGAAGTATGCCACATGTAGGGCCACATGAGAGACATTTTAGCAGACACGGTAAAGTACTGACTATATATATAGCACAGCTAGCTTTTGTTCTGCAGAATGATGACAATACTGGGAGTCAGTAAATGGTATGATTTACATTTGAAAATAGCTCCCCAGAATCTGCTGAATCCATTCAGACTTAACCAGCAGGAGAACATCACCATTCAGTGTTCTGGGTCCATCTGTTGGCGATATCATGATGGAAACAGCTTTTTAAATGCTATTTTCAGTAAGATATCACAGAACAGCTTGTTCCAACAGTATTCCAATACCTTTCTGTTTGCTTGCAACCTACTATAAAAAACAGCTTAGAGGGAAGGAGGCATTTCAGTACTATACTGACGTAGGGTGGGAGGGACAGAGAGACTACAGGAAGCAGCAAACCAAAAAACAACTATAAGACGAGAAAAGGAGAAGCAGCTGTTATTTTAGACCCCCTGCAGTCTAGATTTAAACCAGGATGTGGAACCCAAACTACTGTAAAGTCAAAGAGGGATGGCCTGCACCAGCCAGTCATTAGAATTATCGTGCATTGACAGTGTCAGCCATAGGACACTAAAGGCTCCTAGAGAGAAATGGCAGGTACACTTAGTAATTGCCTTTAATTCTGCAAGCCCTTCTGAACTGTGTGCTCCAACTAGTACTGAAAGGAAGATCCACCTCCATCACTGTAACACGACCACTTGTCCAGCACCAAAACAATCTGTCCTATATAATTCTTACCAAAACATCATGTATCCATCACCTTACTTCTCTAGTAAAACAAATGCCAGCAACATACTGATGATACAAAGCCTGCATCCACTAGCATCGAAGTGGCTCAGTTGCAGAGGTAAGTTCAGCAATGAAGAACAGATGGCTGCATTTGAACCCCATAACTGGTAGGAAAGGAACAGAAGTTCTTTTGGTTCACACAAAAGAAGTTTCACAATTAGTCAATTCAGTGTGTAGTTGTCACAGCTAGCTGTGACACATCGAATGTCATGCCTTTTTAGGCAAGGAAATAGATAATGCCCTGAGATTTCTTCTGATCTATGTCATCCTACGATACTAAAATAAATTCCTCTATGCTACAGATTATCTCTACACTACTGAATCAAGTTCTAAGATTTGCTTATTTTAAAGCTTTTATTTTAAAAGGCTGCACTCCTTAAAGGGTTACAAGGGGCACTCAAATTTTCAGTGCATTATGCATCTTGTTTACCAAACACCATTTGAAATATATATATAGTCATGAAGGATGAAAGTTGAGAAGCAATACTATACGAGAAGGTAAACTAAAGAATGCATGAAACATTATGTGGCCATGTAAATGGAGATATAGAAAGAGGAAAGAAAACCTGGAAAAGTAACAGGGAATTAGTACTGATAAAACCTGGAAATTAATACTGATATTACTGATAAAAATACTGACAAAACTGATAAAAAGTAATACTGATAAGAACATAAACTTGCAAGAAAATTAACAACACATAAAAATACAAAATATTACATCAAGACTTCATTCATCATTAGTGCTAGAATAAAAATGTAGTGATACCTCTCTGTATGTTGTTGCGCTTACTCGTAAAATATTCTAATTTGTCCTGCTATCCAGATTGCTGCCTAAATACAAAAACTATTTTGTGTTCTGTTTATCTGTCTTTGACCTATTTGTATGTGCATAGTCATAACATCCTCTTAGAATACATGCATCATAGTCTGCTTTTAAAATGAAAAATACAACTAATAAGAGGATGCTTATGGCGATCACCTACCTGAGGACGTATAACTTTCACTATGTTTTTAAGTGCAGTGTCTGGTGATGGAGGAGAGCAGTCAGGTGTTGGGCCTGTAGAGCTGTTTCTATGGTTACCAGATCCTGGTGTGGTAATTGCTACCTGAGGTGCATTATCTGTGAATAAAAATAGCATTTATGTGAACTTACAAATACTCCATACATTTTAAAATAAAAAAAATATTTTGAAAACAGAACACTACTCAGAGCATTATTTCAATTTACAAAACCTATTATATTTTAAATGTATTTGGTAAGGAATATATTGCATATCTACACTTATTTTCTCAGCTCATACAGTCATTCTACGTTAAGGCAGGATATAGCACTCTCTTAAGACCTAAGCGGTAAGGAATATATTGCATATCTACACTTATTGTCTCAGCTCATACAGTCATTCTACGTTAAGGTAGGATATAGCACTCTCTTAAGACCTAAGTAAAATGAGGCACAAACCAAACACACATAATTCACTTTCGTTATCCTGAATTACCGACTGTGAATCCAGATACTGTCACTATAAAAGGGGCAACTTGAAAGAGAGCTTTATAAATGCAACTCATAGCTCATCCTGGAAAATCCTAACACATATGACCTGGTTCAATAAGTTATATAAACACATAGTCAACTTAGAGCACGCTAATAGCTGTCAGTGACAACTTCCCTGGACACTATGAACAAGATAATTGAACAGCAAGGATTAATTACAGGAAAATATACTCAGCTTCTCAGACGAAATTTGCATTCTCCATAGACCTCTGCACTGCAGTAACTACCTTTCTAGCAGCATCTCAGCTAGATAACCTATCGCTGGCTTAAAAATTTCTCCATACCTGCAGGTACATGGGAAACTCTCATTCGGACATATATTGTGATGCTGTTACCATTTTATGGCACTGTGAAGGACCATTAAAGGAATTTAAAATATCATTCTTACCTTCTCTGAATGTTCTTAATGCTGTTTGAATAATGTAAAGTTAGTGAAAATCAGGTCAGAGGATAGAGAAGACTATGAATTAAGGCATAGCTTCCCAGCTGTGATGGTAACCAAGCACCAAAATGACTTCGTAGGAGGCCAAAAGCTCCACATTACTTCACGTCTGTAGAATTGTATTATTAAAGAAATGCTTTAGTTCAGCTTCTGGGGAAATTGCCATTGCCTGTGCATGGTTATGGTGGTCTTTACAGTGTCTGTGGATTTATAGAGTACATTTCTTTGTGGGTCGCAAAGACATGTGCTCCATGTTCCTAAATGCACTGTAATACCTGCAGGTCTGCATTAAGACAACGATTACTTTCAAATCTCATGTCTGTGGGCCTCAACTGACAGCCTGCAGAGTTCACAGAAGAAAGCCTATTTCTTTGTAATTGAGGTGGATCTCTGGTATGTGCTTTCACTTTGTGGGCAAATCCACTCCAAATAGAAAAGCCCAAACTCCAAATAAACAAAAGCAGCTCCAGTGCTGTAAGCTGGAGAATTTTTGCCTAACCAACTTCTGCAGGAACACACACAAGCTCTTCCATCTGCACACGTTGCAAATGCCTCTGTGAGAGCAATGACAGAAGCTTTTGCCTCTCAGTCCTACTGACCTGAAAGAATTCTTGGAAGTGTAACAGAGACATCAAAGGGAAGGAAATAGGCAGTTACATTAACATAGCTAACATAGGATAAAGAGGAATAGTTGTAAGAATGTAAACTTTATGGCCTTTCCAACTGACAGATACTTTCATAGCATGGATGATACTCAGAAATACTCCCTGGAGAAACACTACATATCTGGATGAGGTCTTAATAGTTTCTAGTCAAATACAGACTGACAAACTGTTCTTATAAAGCAAATATCAGGCTGGAATGTTTCAGCAATACTGTTACACTTAATGAAAGTGTAAATGAAAGTTCAGACAGCAGTGTGGCAGACATCCAAAATGGAAACATCCTGTAGATAACCTCAGATGTTACCTGACGTCTGACAGAGTGAACCCTCCCCATCATAGAAACACACAGTTCCAACTTTGCTGAAAAGTATCTCATCAAAACTGAGATGTCCTTTAGGTACGCAGTCCTAACATATAGAAGGCCTCTTTCTGAATTGTCTCAAGTATGCACAATCTTGGATTTTAATGAATTTCATTCATTCTTCACACAGAAGAACTTGGATGGCATTCCAGAAAGCCTTAAGTCTCTCTTATGCTTTCCTGTCTGACCTGGTATATAAGTGAAAAACTATTCACATGCAGCATGTGAATGAGTATCCTATGATTTGAAAGCCTAGCTCACCAAAGGAGGGACAGGGATTTACAAGAAGACACCCTACCAAGGCCTTGCCATACTGTTTGTAAAACTCATAGTGAGGAAAAACGTTAAATATGAGTGTTAGGAGCATGAGCAAGTGAGCTGAAAGTCTCACCTTCTTTTGCTCTAGAATGATACACCTTCTTTCACTCTATGGACAGCCTCATCAATAGATAATTATCAAGGAACCACCCTGACTAAGGAATCAGAGACTCGCTTTGAGAGCACCCTGCACTGTGTTTGTGGAGATACCAAACAAGGGACTATACTGCTGCCAAAGACGTGGTAATACAGGCACCATCTAGGAAGCTAAGGAATAACTTCTAGAGTGAGAAATGCTCCATGTGAGTCTACTTAAGTGTACTTAGTACACTTATTTACTTACTGGTGTGAGAAACAAACAGAACAATTGTCTCTAACAAACAGCTAAACCTGTAAAGAATAGAAGCTCCCCGGTACTTCAGCAGTCCCTGAGTTTCTGTCTCCGTTCTTTTGCTGTGAAGCCGGTGTGGCTGTGCTTAGCTATTCAGCACATGAAAGCCTTCCAAGTGAAATCAGGAAGTCTTGAAGGTGTGGAAGTATCTCAGAGATGCATCAGTCAAAAGACTGAGAGTTAGAAATACAGACTGGTGCTGATGGTAATGAATACAGCTTTCTGCCCACCATTTCACTCTGTTTCAAGGTCTTGTCGATAGTCACCTCAGCTTAGTTTACTCACACTTCATGCAGAAGAGTTTAACAGAGGGGTCAAGTTATATGAGCAAGATTTTGGTATTTCCACAGGAAAGACTTCTTGTTGACCCTGTTCAATGATAGGTCACTGAGAAGTAGGTTTTTCCCCTAGATACAGTCCCACCTGAGAAGCATCAAACTGACTGGGAGTGGCATTCTTGGAATGAAAATTTACTGGGAGATATTCATGAGGGGAAGCAGGGCTGCTGTATGCCCTGCTAGACAAGGCTGAAAAAAACTTCTCCAGCTACAGCATGTGCATACGACTATAACCAATTCAGGAACATACATAATATGCAGTGATCTCAAAAAAGAGTAGTTACAGTCTTTCCTTCCAAGCAACATAAAGTGGTAATACAAAAAAGGATCATGCTTTTAGAATCTACAAAGAAAGCTTTGCAAAGAAAAATTCAAATAATTTTCTTCAGAACAAACATCCCAGAAAAAATCCAGCTGCTCAGCATTTCATGCCGTCACTCCTTTCTCAAAGGAATTAAGTGTCTGACATGTAACGGTTTCTTGTAAACAACTTCTTTATCGTGGACAGCTGTTTATTTTCACAGTAGGATCTTCCCATTAGGCAACCAATAATGATTTACTACCTGGGTCTGCTCCATCAGAGAGAGAATATCACCATGAAATTCATTCCTGCAACCAGTTTGGGCAATTCCTCCATTTATTTATACAGTACTCATAGTTTCATTACGAATATATTTGAATATATTTTGTTTTGTAATTAAATTATATAATAATTATGTTTTCATTTTATTTTCTCTTTCTCTGGTAACAAAACTAAAGCAAACTTTTTTTCCCCTTTAGGTAACCATAATGGTAATACTGTAAGTTTCAGTGGAACATTTCATGACAAAAAGAACTTGGAAACTCAAGAACCTACCAAATTCACCTAGAAAAGATTAGCTCCCATGCTGAGTTTCTGACAGGTGCTATAAATGAGGCCAACAGGGAAGTATTTATGGCTGTCATTCTCCTCTAGTTCCTGGCTCAAGTTGCAATAAGAGATGTTTCTGTACAAGTCAGATAACATCAGGTTCCTGGGATCATGTGGCAGCTAAAAATTACTGAACTGCAGCATGGTCTAACAATATTCCTTCCTCCATCATACATGAGAAACTGTCACAAGGATTATGTAACTGGACCTTATTCTGATTTTCAAAAATGGTTACTTAGGACTTTCCATCCTCTATTTCCTTTGTTTCAGGACAAATGAAATAGAACAGGATAGGATAAAGATAATATACTATGTTACATTTTCTATGTCCAGAACAACCAAAATAATTTTTTTAAAAGGTTAGATAAACTCAGGTTTTGGATTAACTGGATGCATCTAGTGTGGACTATAAAAAAAGCTATGCTGATTTACATTCTGGCAAATCTTACTAATTTGCCTGCTTTGTTGGTTGATTAATTGGCTTAGCATACAAGGTTTTAAAGGATAGAAAGTGTTATAATGCCATCATGATCACATTTACCATTAACCGTCTCATGGACATAGGAAAAAGATGGTGATTCTTAAATTTCTCACAGGATTGGACAGGTTTCCACATCTCAAATCTTAATACCTTTCAAAATTCTATTTGATACTTTTCCCAGTTTTTGAAGTATTTACAGCAATGGTCACACTAGTGCTTCATACAACTTGCCTGTGCTTATTAGTCTTTTCCTTATGCATCAAAAGACTCTGATTACAAATGATGAAGTTGAAGGTCAGGTTGTTCCCACCACCATTTTAAAAAATCTTTTTACTCTCAAGTCACACAAGCATTGTTTAAATTAGAGCTATACCCTTTGATTATGGACAGATGACTTGATTTCAGTTACACTAAAACCTATTAATATTGAATCAACTCCACCAAATCCAGAAATATAGATTAGCTTTTTACTGGTCTATTCCAGTTATTCCATATTTCAGCAACAGTTATTTTATATATCCTCACAGGAAAATGATAAAAAAAAATTCAATAGCATTGAGCAAGAATTAATTCACAATATTTTTTTTTAATTTATGAATTTAAAAGTTTTAAGTAATTTAGTATGGGAAATGTTTATTTTTTACAGCACCTTTTTATGAGAA